AGTTAAATTCAAATAAGGGAAATGGTACGGGATAAAGCATGCTTGGACTAATTTGTAAAAGTTAAGTTCGTTATGGTAAGAACCTAAAGGCATCCCCAGCAGAGTCGCCATGCTGTCGTGCCCCCCTTTTTTCCCTCCTCGCGGAGAGAAGTCCGGGTTTCGACATTCTATGTTGTGTGATAACTCATTTCCTTTTGGGAATTGGGTTTTTGAAGAGTCACCACCTAACGAGTTATGGTGCGTTAGGTCACCTAGAGTGATTAACTCTTGGATTGGTTTGCATTACCGGAGATTTAGGGTAAAGGCTCAAAATAACCTCGAGGGGAAGGTGTTAGGCACCCTTCTTGGTCCACAACTGTGGATCCCGGCCGAACTTATATTTACAAATTAGTCCATTACAAAATAAACAGTTGAATCAAATAGGTTGCAAATAAAGTATGTTGGATAACTCGAGTAATAAGACAAAGATTTTTCAAACAACTTGTATAAAACAAAGGTTTAAAAATAGAAGAAGGAATATTGGTAAAGGAGGAGTCCTAGGTTGGTTAGCCTATAGGATCACCCCGCACAATGTCCGGTAAACACTATTCAATGAGGGGCTACACGTGACATTAGCGCGTAGTCATCATATCCTATATCTACCCTTCCCATCCCCTTAGTGGTCATGCAAAGCGAGTGTTTGGTCAGCGATCTCTATTGTGTGTTGTCACTCGTCCCTTCTTAATAGTCCTGGAGAGATTTGAGACCTCTACTTATAGGTGGTTCTAGACAGACCCCTTAGGTTTCAAAGGTGAAAATTCTAAGGCGACAGGCAAAACAACTAGGACTTTAACACATAAGATAAAAGGGAGCAAATAGAGGCTCAAATTTTCCTCCTCAAACAAGGCACACAAACAGCACAACTCAAGCACAATTAAGGGTTTTTTTAAATATCCTAAGGCAGGATATCTAGGTGACTATGCAGAAAACAAGTAACTTATTTTTTATAAACTCAGGAGTGATGAACCTAGCAGTTACCTATTGGTTTTTTAAAGCCTGTTAAGATCAGAAAGATACTAAGTCACAAAAAACAGCTTCAGAATTGCAAGTTTTGGAAAAAACACCCTACAGGCTTGCCTACGTGGAACACTGATAACTACGTCTTATATTGAAACAAGGCAAGTTTTAAGACGGACTTTTAATACATATAGGTATGTTGTCTAGTGAAATGAGGTAGTTTTGAAAGAACTTGTTTCAGGAAATATACCATTTAATTAAACCAATTAAGAAGTAGACTAAACGTGGACTAAGTTGATTCATTTAGATTAACAGCCAGAATTTCTAATCTGATTCCCTATAGGCATGATATCTAACTTTAATACTGATTTTAAAGGCTTGCAGGTATGGAAACATGCATAAACACTTGTTATAATAGAATCTAGGTTAAATTACATCCTATAGGCATAGCATCTATTTGTTAAGCTGATTTTAGACATTGCAGACATGATTTTATTACGGAATTATTTGAAACCTATAGGCATGATTTCTAGTATGGCGAGATGATAAGATGTAAAGCCCTATAAGCATGATTTCTACTTGGTAAAGCAATCAGATTAACATGTAAAGTCCTATGAGCATGATTTCTACTTAGTAAAACAATCAGATTAACAATGTAAAGTCCTATGAGCATGATTTCTACCCGTATTACCCCCATAAACATGTAACTACTCATCCCTTTCACTAATTACCCCAATATTTGTTTACAAGTTATTACAGGCCATATGAACAAATTACATAAGTAAATAAGAAAATAAGAAGCTGGTCTATAGGGAGCCTTCAATTAGGCCTAGATTTCCAAAAGCCTCTAATAGCCTCAAATGCCTCAATCCCATAGACAAAATCATAGTCTAGATGCATCAAAGTTCCCTAAGGATCTCAATGATCCCGGGCAGTGCTTACACCTAGACTTGGTAACCAAAATTGAATAAGTGCAGTGTGGAAAGGCCAGCCTCAGTATGCCAGAGTTTAGAGGGTTCTCAAGAGGATCCCAAGGCAGTACACATACTGGAGGGGGAAAAACTTATTGACTTAGGAGTAGAGTGAAAGTGTTTGACACAAGTTGAAAGGTTTTAATGAAAAACTGTATTAAAAGGAAGTTCGTTTGAAAATGATTTAGTAAAATCACAGAGGCAGTTTGAAAAGAGATTGGAGTAAGGAACAAAAGTCCAAACACAACACTTTAAGACAGATTCATACACAGCCAGGAGTCACAACACCAAGGCAAGTTCAGTAGTCAAAACAGGGGTCAATGGATTTGGGGATACATAGAACACTTGATTGTAAACACATAATCAAGCAAAGGTCTAGGAATTGGTATAGACCTGCTCAGAAACAGCTGACCATACATAGTCACAGAATCAGACATAAAGAACAAATTCACATACATGGGTGATAGGGATTTGGGGATACATGGAGCACATGCTGGTAAACACATAAAGATAATTGGTGCATACATGTTTAGAAATAACACAGAGGGGTAATATACTAATCTTAAGAAATGGGAGTACATAATAATGTAAACATCAACTACAAGTTTCACAATAAAATCATAAATAGAAACAAACTAGAAACAAGATGAACTGAAACGATAAAAGAATCATATTGTTGTTGGAACTTTGAATTGAAACTAGAACATACCAATAAAGAGGTCAGTAAGCAAAGTGAAAGAGCAGGAGAACACAACAGTTAGCCTTGGCTTGCAGCCGACTAACTTAGAGTAGTAGCAAGTAGCACAAAAGAGAGCAGAAAATTTTAAGTGTGAGAGAGAGAGAGTTCTGAACCAAGAGTGTTTTTTTGTGTTAATGAACGACTAAGGTATTTATAGTTTGAAAGCAGGTAGCAAATAAGGTAAAAAATCAAAGTTCATCAGTAATTGTGGAACTCAGAGTCAGTCAGCCAGGAAATCAAGGTAAGTACTCCCCTTAAGTTAAGGGAATTACTCAAACAGTAAGAACAAGTGATAAGTAACGAAAGAAATCAGTGTATGACTATTAAAAAAAGATTCAAATTCAGTAAGTATAGGGTAGACAATTAGGGTTAAATTCAGAAAACTCCCATTAAGGAAATAGTTCAGTAAGAATAAAGTACCACAGCAAACAAGGTAGGCGAATCAATTAATTTAACTAGACATGGTAGAAATTTAGGGTTTAAAAGAATATCTTTCAATCAAACCATAAAATAAGGAATCTAGAGTCAATCAAGAGGAAATCATGATTCAATACTCAGCATATAAATAGAGTAAGAGTAACCAGACATAGCAAACATGCTGGTTCAATAGTATCGATAGAAAGAGGCAAGTCTTGAACAATCAAGATGAACATAATCACATAAAGGTGGTATAAGTTAGGCTAAGAACTCAGTAAGAACATATTAGAAGCAAGGTAACCACAAAAACTTAAACAAGAACCGAGTAGTCATGCTAACACACAGAACCAAACAAAGATAATCTAGAAAAATTAGGGCTTTTAACATAGGCGAGTTGAAAAAAATAGTAAAATCATAGAATCAATCGAAATATGCAAGGGGTAGAAGTTTAAACATAAAGAATCGGTTTAAACAAAGTGTAGAAGAAGTTCCAAAAAAATCCTAACTTTAGAAGAAGGTGAAAACAACTTGATATCGATGATTCTTGTAAAGAGATCCAAGAACATTGTAAAACATCAAGAAAAAGAATCAAATCGTTTAAAAATTGTATAGATCTACGAGTTGTAAGCAAAAATTAGGGTTTCAAAAGAGACCTAAGTAGAGATGAAAGAACCTGTTTAGAAACCCCAAAGATTGTAACAAATATAGTGTGATTTTGCTCGAACTCAAACTAGAGTAGCCAAGAACAGCCAAATAGCAAACCCTAGATACAAGTCGGCGTGGCCCAGGGGCCTTGAAGGCTTCAAAGAAGATGAGCATGGCAATAGAGGAGCCATTTGAGGCTTAGAAGTTAGAGGGTGGTCACCGGAGAAGACCGGAGAAGAAGGTCGGCGAGTGAGAGGAGCTAGGGTTAGGTTGAATGGTTGAGAGATGAGAGAATATAGAGGCGGAGGAGTTTGGAAATGAGGCTCGGGTTAGTGGTCGTTGGAATTTAAAAAAAGGGAAAGGAATCATGCGGGCCGTTGATCTTTTAGATCAACGGTCGGGATTTAGCGGGTCCTGGGTCGGGTAGGTGGATTTAGGGCTTGGGTCGGGTGTTTTTAATTTGAAATTGGGTTGGGGTTGGGTCCAAATTGGGCTACAATTGAAAGCAAATCCGGCTATATTTTAAATAGTCACTTTTTCCTATTTAATTTATAATAAATAATAAACAATTTCTGGAAAATAATTTTATGTACAAAAATGATTTAAACTATATATTTATCAATCTAAAAATATAGGGACCAATTTTACGCATATAAAATATAATTATACACTAAATGGGCTAATATTGCAATTATATACAATTTAGCTTAAAAATACAAAATGCAATTATAAAAATGCATAAAAAATATATTAACCACATTTTGGAATACGTATAGAAATTAAATGACTAAATTTCCATATCAATAATTTGGAGAATAATTATTGGGTTTTTAGGAATAAAATGGAAAGAAATAAATCAATTTAAATCCCTAAAATTATGGAAAAAATTGTAAAAACCTTGTGCATGCTTATATATGCATGTATATGCTATTTTGAAGGTATTTATGCATATATAAAAATTATAAGAAAAAATTGGGTATCTATAGCAGCCATATGTCACGGTGAGAAAAACTTGGCTATAAACTTGTCAGCCAACTCATCCCACGTAGTGATGGAATGGTTGAGGAGTCTTTCGAGCCAGTCCAAAGCTTTCCCTCTAAGTGAAAAAGGGAACAATATCAGTTGCAATGCATCCTTCGACATATTTGTATGTTTGCTTCCCCAGCAGGTATCCACAAAGCCCTTTAGATCTATTCTTATATTATAAATGGGGATAACCATGCAGCTCATGGTCAACATGTCTGCCTGGCCCAAAATTATCTTATGGTTTGTATTTGCAGCCCAACACGTGTAGCCCATTTTTGACAGCTATCAACTCACCATTTGATTTTCTTATTACATCCGACACTTGTGAAAAGCTTCATCTGCAAAGCCCTCTTCTTCAAACGCCTCTTCCCTTCATATATCTGCTCCCTTGCTCTGCCCCTCTATCTATTGGAATTTTCTACTGGGTAATCTTCTTCTCATCTTCTGTTTTTTGTATTAATTTGTTTCAATCCTGAATAATATGCTACGTATTTGTGTTTTGCCCTGAATAGTGAGGGATTCCTGCAGACAAAGTAAAATATGTTACTAATAATTTTGTTCTCAAGGTGTTTGACAAAATTCTTCTATCAGGTTAGTAAAGAGATGAACATTGAGGGATGATGAATGGAAAAGGCCGAAGTGAGGAAAACAGAGAGATCTCAATACTCTATAAATTTTGCTTTTCATCTGAATTTTTTTGGCTTTCTAGGTATCAATTTACCATTATTGCCTTATATTGATATATGCTGCCTATTTTGGATAGTCGCTTTTCTAATAAAGACCATGATTCTGCTTTTATGTAATTGGAAGGAGATAATAGTTAGTTAATTTGTTAGAAGTTTGTATTGTCCTTTTTGAACTATTGATACTTTAACGTTATTCTACCCCTGGTAAACCAATAATTTGCTGACTTTGGTGTTGGAGGCGGGAGAGCCTGTTTTAGCTGCAGAAATGGTTTAGTTTTTGTTATTTCTTTAGAAAAAGTTACAGCTCAATTACTTATTTTTATGGTTTTGTTGAAAAGATAAAATTTAATGATTAATAGTGTTTGTTTTCACTTTGCTTTTTGCGTCATATCTTAAGGTTGTAACGTCTGATGAAAATTGGGATTTGGAGGCTTTTTCTCTAGCATATTCATGGTTGAACCTTTATGTATGTAGGGAATCAATATCATTTCCCTCTTAAAGAAACATAGTGAATATATGGTTTACGCTATCTAACTCTTGCAGTTGAGTTGTATAAGTTCCGCCATTTATAGCTATTGCAGTTCCCATGATTGAGGAGGATCTACAGGTTCAATTAAGGAACCATTAGATGCTGTGATAATTTTTCTTGTATGTAGTGCTCAGAAAATAAAAGTCAGATATATTTGAGTCTCAATAGTATTTTTTATTAATCTGATGCTATTCGCTTCTGATGTTACCTTTGCCAGCAAACTATTTCTGTTTACTTCATTTATTTTAATTTCTATAATTGCAGTTTTGTAGGAATAATAGGTTATGAACAAAAAAAACAAACATGTTTGCTTCGCAAATCGGAAGTTGAGATAAAATTTAGGCGACATGAAACGTACAGACTAATATCTGCTGAAAAAAAGGAAGTGTTGCTACTACAATGACGAACAAAAAGGCAAGAGTCAAAAAATAGTTGTCTTTCTGAGAATGTTGCTTTTCCTAGCGCTACTGTAGCTACAATTGAGTTTCAGCAACAAAATGTTCTTCTTAGGGGCTCTTCTTTTGTTTCAAGAACATGTTAGAACACATCCTTTGTAATTTTATTTTTTTGTAGAAATGTCTCTTCACACTCTTTGCATGTGAGTATAATTAAATGATGCTAAGTGTGTGTTGTGTTTCCCCTATTAGCCAACAAGGGTCACATTGATGCTTTACCAGTTACATCTGATAAGCAAAAGAGTATAACTTATCCCTTCTACTCCTTTGAAGTAGGCAAGTATCGAGGATGCAACGTTGACTTTTAGACAATGTCTTTATTTATTGCTAATTTATTACTTTTTGGCATTAGGCTCCACGTCACGTGAATCTAATGAAAGCAATAGTATGAGTTCAACAATGGTTGGAAAAAAAGGTTTGCACCAATCTTTTATTATGATAGTGTTGTATATTACCTAATTGGTAATTTTATGCTAATGATACCTAAATATACATGTTATAACTCCAAAAAAAAGTTGTACATACGTAAGACAGTTATAATCTAATTATGTTCCCTTGAAAACTGTTCCTAATTGTAAATTTTGTGGTACAAAAAAATTTGAATATGAACAACTGGATTCTACTGTAACAATGGTTCGATCAAGTTAGTTTCACATGAGATGCCTGCTGAAATACAAAATTTATATTTGGGTACTACGGAATAATGTAAACATTTTCGAACATATATCAGAACATACAATAATATGTTTGCATTTACATCACTTGGTGTAAATTATGACAAAGAATTAGCAAAAAAAAAATCGTGGTATTTATACATTTACAGTTCAAGGGAAGATGTACCATTTTATAAATGATTTACTGCCTCCGAGTGGAATAGCAAGAAATCTACAACTATACTTCTACGACAACGATAACGAATTAGCTAACAGAATGGTTTGCTCAGAAAAAATCCATGAATCATTAGTCAAAAAACTAATGAATATACTGAGAACTAATCCATACTCTATTTTCTTAAAATCCCTAATAAATGTTCCAAATCTATCAAACTATAATATTGCACTTAAATCTGACTTAGGTTTGGATCAACGTGTATACAATCTTCCTATTACATCAGAAGTTTCAAGGATATGGGTTGAAAGAGAAATCATTGAAGTTAGTTCTGCACCTCATATTCGAATCTACACTCATAGCAATAGATCTCAAATAGTGAACTACTATTACGGATGTTATGATCCGCTACAGTATCCACTATTGTTTCCATATGGTCAAAGTGAATGGCACTGTGGCATTAAAAAAATTATACAACCAAAAGATACTTCTAAACGCCGAGCCTATTGTGAACACGAAGAATTACCAAGTATTAGAAATATGTATTCTGTTGATGGATACCTTGACATGGAAGCTCAAAATCTTGAAAAAGGAAAACGAAAAAGAGATAATATCTCTATTCGTGAATATTACTGTTATAAATTCCAAATGAGAGAAGATGAAACAAATGAAACTTTGCATTCTGGAAGATTATTTCAACAATATTCAATAGATGAACACATAAAATTTGAAACACAGAGATTGGACTTTTTTTCATTCAACCCAGATCTCTTTAGGATAGAAATGCTACAAGGACTCATTGATGTTTTAAGACTTGGAGAAAGAGACGCTTCAAATATAGGAAAGCAAACATTCCTTCCTGTTACTTTTATAGGCAGACCAAGAGACATGCGTTGACGCTACATGGATGCTATTTCTTTGGTACAATAATTTGAAAAACTTGATCTATTCATAACAATGACTTGTAACCCATCTTGGCTCGAGATAAAAGTGCACTTGCTACCAACTGACGAAGCACAGAATAGACCTGATTTAATTAGTCGAGTTTTTAGAGCAAAGATAGAAGAACTAAAAATAGATATATTAAAAAGAAATATCTTTGGAAAAGTTGCAGCTTTTATGTATACTATAGAATTTAAAAAATGTGGTCTACCACATGCTCATTTCCTTATTATACTTACTAATGAATACAAACTACTCACTCTAGAAGCTTATGACAATATTGTTCGGGCTGAGTTACCTGATTGTAAAGCTGAAGAAACCTTATATAAACTTGTTCTCCAACATATGATGCATGGACCTTGTGGTAAGTTAAATCCTACAAATTCATGTATGCAAAAGAAAAATAGTTGTTGCAAATTCAAACATCCAAGAAGCTTTGCTGATCAAACATCAAAAGGAAAAAATTCTTACACAATTTATAGAAGACGGAACACAGGACTTGTGAAAGTCAAAGATCACTATTTCGATAACTCTTGGGTTGTCTTTTATAATCCATTCTTACTTGAAAAATTCAATTGTCACATAAATATTAAAAAAAATTCAGATATTAAAGCTGTTAAATATATTTATAAATACATCTGCAAAGGACATGATAAAATCGCATTTCACATACATGACAATGACGCAAATGTTGAAGTAGATGAAATAAAAGAATATCAGTCTGCTTGACGGGTATCACCACCTGAGGCTACATGGCGTTTATTTGGTTTCCCTATTAATAAAATGACAACAGTTGTTTATCATCTTCAGTTACATCTTGAAGGACAACAATTTACTTTTTTTAAGAGGTGCATCGAGTATAAACTCAATTATGAATAATCCTATGATTAGAAAAACAATTTTAACAGAATTTTTTTATATGAACAAAACAAATAAAGATGCAATAAAGCTCAATCTACTGTATAAAGAATTTCCACAATATTTTGTATGGACAGTACAATATAAAATGTGGACCCGTCGAATAAAGGGTAATGTCATTGGACGTGTTGTAACATCTCATCCAACAGAAGGTGAAAGATAGTATCTGAAATTATTATTAATGAATATAAGAGGACCAAAATCATATGAAGACCTACTAACTGTAAATGAAGTACATTGTGATACATTCAGAGAATCAGCTCAAAAAAGAGGACTACTTCATTATGACAATAACTTAGCTGAATGTATGGTAGAAGCTAAGAGTTATCAAATGCCATGCAGTCTGAGACGCTTGTTTGCTACATTATTAGTATATTGTGATCCTGGTAATCCAAGAGAATTGTGGGAGAAATTTGAGGACCCTATGTCTGAAGAATTCAAAATTTTACCAGACATCAGAACAAAAAATGTTCGATATAAAGTTTTAGACTATCTCAATGACATCTTACATTCGATGGGACATAACATTAATGAGTATAAACTTATCCCTGAAAATTTCAAGGCTGCCAAAGAAGCAAGAGAAATATTCTTCGAAAGAAACATAATCGTTACTGAAGAAGAGCTATTACTGCGACAAAAGTTGAATCGTGAACAACAGATGGCATACAATGTGATTATAGACAGAATATCTTCAAACAGAGGAGGAGCTTTTTTATTGATGGTCCTGGAGGAACATGTAAAACTTCTTTATATTGTGCCTTATTAGCTATTGTGCGATCTATAGGATTTATTGCTCTAGCAATAGCAACCTCTGGAGTTGCGGCTTCGATTCTTCCAGGTGGTCGTACAGCTCATTCCCGTTTTAAAATTTCCATTGACATTGATGAAAACTTTAGTTGCAATATTAGCAAATAAAGTTCACTTGCCTGTTTGATTCGAGATGCAAAATTAATTGTATGGGATGAAGTATCGATGGCAAAAAAGAAAATGATTGAAACTTTTGATCTACTTTTGAAAGATCTCTTGAATACTAATGTGCTTTTTGGTGGTAAAGTTGTTGTCTTTGGTGGTGATTTTAGACAAACTCTACCAGTAGTTCGAAACGAAAAAAGAGAAGATTTTATTCATGAGAGTTTATTATATTCTGACATTTGGCCCCAACTTGAAAAATTGCAACTGTCAGAAAACATGCGTGCAAAAACTGATCCGGCCTTTTGTGAATATTTGATGAGAATAGGAAATGGAAAAGAACCTCTTACTTGTGAAAACAAAATTGAAATTCCAAATTCATTTATTGTCCCTTATACTACTGAACAGGAATCTTTGAATGCATTATTTGAAACAACATTTCCTAATATGCATGCTTTCTTCCGTGATGCATCTTCTGTAACTTCTTGTGTTATTTTGACAACGAAAAATGATTTTGTAAATGAAATAAATGATACGTTATAAGCAAATTTCCAAAAGAAGCTAAAATATTTGTTGCAATTGATGAAACATGTGAATCGAATGATCAAAGTCAGTATGAAGATTTTTTGCATTCTTTAAATCCTACTAGTTTACCTCCTTACAGATTAATTTTGAAAGAAAATTGTCCAATTATATTACTACGAAATTTGAATCCTTGTGAAGGTTTATGCAATGGCACAAGATTGACATGTTGTGATTTTAAAACACATGTTATAAGCGCAAAAATTGCAAGCGGCGACTTTAAAAACACACATGTGTTTATTCCGAGAATACCATTGATGTCATCAGAAGATGAAAAACCACCAGTGCAGTTTAAAAGAACACAATTTCCAGTAAAAACTGTGTTTTGCTATGACTATAAATAAATCACAAGGTCAAACATTAGATTTTGTTGGTATATATTTACGAGAACCAGTGTTTTCACATGGTCAGCTTTATGTTGCATTGTCGAGAGCAAAAGCTTCCAATTGTGTTAAGATATTAATTCGACCGTCAAACCCAGATAGTGATGACAATCGTTCTACATACAATATAGTTTATGATGAAATCATTCAAAAGGTTTTCTTGTGAATCTTTTACATGTTACTGTATAGCATCTGCTGAACTAAATAGAGTTGAACATACAGTTTGAACATACAATTTCAGCACAATAATACCCATCTTGTTTGTGGAACATGTACTTCGAAATTCGCAGAATAAAGTTGACGCACGCAGTTAAGCATATTTATCAGTTTCTACACATGATGGTGATTTTTATTGAAGTGATGATGGCGATGACATCGGCCTATAAAGACAGTAAAATGGGGATGGACAATGGGAAATATGTGAGGTAAACTCCTGAGCAGGTTGAGGCTTTGGAGAGATTATATCATGAATGTCCAAAGCCCAGTTCACTCCGTCGTCAGCAGCTGATTCGGGAGTGTCCAATTCTGTCCAACATCGGAGCCAAAACAGATCAAAGTTTGGTTTCAGAATAGAAGGTATCCAGCAAAATTATCCTGTTGGATTTTGAAAGTTGCTTTGCTTTCCTTTCATGCTTATTGGATTGTACTATTCAGATGATTACCGTGTTATATTTGTGCAAGTGCAGATGTAGAGAGAAGCAACGTAAAGAATCGTCGCGTTTTCAAGCCGTGAACAGAAAATTGACAGCAATGAATAAGCTGTTGGTGGAGGAAAATGATAGGCTGCAGAAGCAAGTTTCACAGTTAGTGTATGAGAATAGCTTTTTCCGCCAACAGACTCAAACTGTAAGCAATCTATTCTTACTTGTCTTCTTCTTGGATTTTTTAAAGATTGTGTTTTGGGTTTTGCTTATGGCAACTTTTTCTGATTAGTTAGAAGATC